GTTCGAGTAGTGCGGACGGTTGACAATGTTCATGCTGCGTTAGCGGTTATGCTATTGAATATGTTACGATGCGAGCCAGAAACATCAAGAACCCAGAAGCGCGACATGCCGAGTATAATCCGCTCGCTCAGTCCAATTTCTTCCGAGATAAATGACATTAGGTTTTAGGGAGTTAGATCAGGCTCACACCCATATTGATAGCCCTTGACTGTATAAGATCGGCCAACACGGCACCATTTCGCTCCTACATGTTCGGAAGGTTCTCGACAGTACACTTGGAAACAGTACAAAAAACAAAAAGGTTAGGGGCGAGCTATTGACAGAGTCACTGACAATGATTTAGTTACCCAAGGACCCTAGCTAATAGTGTGTCAAGAGAAAAAAGCGGTTCCACCATAACACGAAAGGATTCCCATTTGGTATGTGCTCAAAAATTCAGCTTCGAAAATGTGCACACTTTCTACAAAAACCAGACCGTACCCTAGACGAAGAAACCGGTAAGAGAAGGTCCTCGTTCCTCCATTTTCATTCCCATTCCTCTGCTACTGCGCACCCTTTCTAGGTCCCTTTTGCCGCTGCCGACCTGCCACGATAAGGTCATCAAAAAGCGACCTAAGGCAACGTCAAGGCGACCATTATACTCGCCCTGTTCGAATTCAGGAAGACCGGCTTACAATGCCTCTACGGTCCGTATTGCCCAATATCACTTCTTCATGTTTATTCTTACAGCCTTCAGCCGCAACCGGACAAATCCCCTTCACACACGACCAGTTCAACTTCCATAAAAGAACCCCATACGCGCTTTCGTGAGATGGTTGACTTGATAAACCTCAAATACGACCCCCTTAAGAGAAAATGCAAAAACTACCCTCCTTCGAACTTTCGATGGACGATTGATCTTAATTCCGACTCAACGATCTCACATTCAAAGCCACGGGTAGGGATTAGGTGCCAAGAGCTGGTCCTTCCTTGAGTGAGAAAGTGGGATCCCAAGCCCATGCCCGACAGCTGCCGCGACTCGAAAGTGTGCAGCCAAGGCGCTATGTCGTTGCTTCACACGCTGCCGGCTCTGCCACTCCAACATGGCGGCCCACATGGCGTTTGCGCTCTCTCGCGTTCTCCTGGTCTCGCGGCGCTGTGTCTTTCGGTCATACCGGGCGACCTCACAAGGAAAATTTCAGTGTTCTCTGTAGTACTTCCTTCCCACTCGCGTTCCTTATCGCACTTCTAGTCTAACTATCAAGCAAAATAGTAGACCAATTCGATCCCGACCCGTGCTTTTAAGGTCTCAGTCTGAACTGTCTTCTTTGACCAAGGTCGTTCAATTTTCATTAACTAGACCTTGAAACTAGTCCCTGACCAATGGCAACGTGGGTTATGTGTGAGACTTCCAAATAACCTAGCTGTAACACCGTTTCGCTTGCGACTCTTAATCATTTCAGCCGCAAATTCATTTCATCAGCCCTATCGACATGATACCTGCACTGCACTATATCCCAAAACATGATTTTTCCTCGCCAGGATAGAATCGGTTTGATTCTATAAAATAAATGTTACAGTGTTGGGACAGAAGTGATGCAGCATCAAGTGGCACTGTTTACCACGCGCGCGGTCCGGGATCAAATCCTGGGTCGTGAGTCGCCCGGGCCAACCAAGCCTTCCATCCCTCCGGGGTCGGTTAATTGGTACCAGACTTGTCTGGGAGGATAAAAACACTGACTTGTACATCGGCTGGCCCCGCAAGTCATTGTATAGGCCACATCGCATTCAAATGCCACTACGAATGTGAAATGGAAGTAGAATGCGTGGCCGCATCCCAAAAGGGATTGGTCAACGGCAAACGTTTTATGCTCAATATGAATCGGAGAGGAGATATTAGAATCGGAGAGGATGCACAATTCGACGTTAGCGAACTGCTTGTGATGACTGGTCAAAGAATCAGAAAAGGCTGGATGCTTCTGCAAATGCATTATATTATAGCATTCTGCATCGCGATTCCTCACTCGCAGATTCAAACAGGCCAGCGCATGTTCTGTGGAGAAATGAAAAAAAGGCAGAAGCACCGCCATATCTATCGCACAGATATCTTCATGCTAGAGATATATACAGGGGCAATTACGAGCGAAGGCCAAAATCGAAAAGGTATCGCTCAAGCTCGTGCCGATTATCCCCCTGTGTAAGCACCAGCGGGCTCCCCGCGAACAGGCATCAAATTCGACAATCCCGAACACCCGAATGTTTTCGCGTAACCAGTCAATACTTAAAATCAAAAAGTTTCAAAAGAATAATGAACATCAAATCGTCATGTCAAAACCAAAATGTTTAACAGCTAACCACTGATTTTTTTCTAGAGGACTTCGATTTTCCTCCAGAGAATAGAAGGCATCCAGTATGGTAGCTTTCTTCTTCAGATCTTCGTGAGCACTAAGCATTGCACTCGTTTCAGATTCCAGTTGCATATCTTCCACGCAATCGCCGATTCCGATTTCACCTGCAATGTTCCTTTCGGGAGAATTCAGCTCCTTTCCTTGATGTTTATTTTTCAACTACGTGCTTTGAGTAACACGAACGGGCTCCCTTTTGATCGGCCTAGCGTAGAACTCGTACGGTGATTGCGTCTGTGAACCTTCGATGTTGACAAGATACTCTCCTCCTGTACAGTACCTAAAATATAGCTTGAAACAGTTCAAAAATATGGACCCTCCACTAGGTAAAAAAGATTCGTCGGGGTTAATATGAAATGCACTCTAGTGAAGACGAATACTTTTTATGGGAATTTTGATTGAACTCGAATTTGAGAGAATTGGGAAGGTAGCTTCCGAATTCTCTCAAACTCGAGTCTAATCAAAACTCCTATGCCTTGAATCTGCGTTCAAACATGTTCGGTGGAATATGTCATACCCCAAGGACAACGTGATCCTAGGGTTCTTACCCAGTAGGGCAGAAATACGAACCCATGATCGTCCAGCCACTTGACTTCTAGAGGTGGAATATGAGCCCTGCGCGGAGACCATTCACGCCACTCTTTGGCTAGTTCACTGCTCTGAGACAGTTGATCTGCTGAAGTTGAATCACGTCTCCAGTCAGTTGGAAAACTTCTCCGAAATAGAGGAATCTCGCGTAAGGGCGGAGGTTGCTCGATCTATAGAAGACCAACATCAATGTATTGTAGTTATAAATCATTCGAATATGTTAGTGCGTGAACGGTAAAATAAGAACGAAGATAACAAACGAAGAATCAAAGTAGAACCTTATTGAAATTGATGTCAGGAGTGAAATGGGAAGCATCGACTATGCGACGAAGCTGCATCCGCCCTCGAAGTTCAGCTGCAAAAAGAGCGGCAATGCAGATACCAACATCAGGAGATGTATCAGTGTGACCATCAGGGATGCCGTAAAGCTCCACCTGCAAGAAAAAATGTTACTCATAATCTGTTCGAAAAGAACAGACGGAGTCAAACCCTTGTCTGCGCTGCGCAGGGAGAAAACGTTAAAGACAGCTGCAATACAATATCGATGGGCAGAGATGGTGTAACGGTAACTGATGCCACTTTTCACGCAAACGGCCAATCACTCAAATCCCGAATCAAATCTTCCTGAAGCCAACCCAGCCTTCCTTCCTCAATTAGTTAACACCGAACTTGTCTGGGAGGACAACAACACTGAAATGTACAGGGGGGAGGGCAAAAAAAAAGAGTCACTC